GGTGGATAGATATTAAATGATTGAACCATTGAATTGACTGATTGATCGCCACAACATGTTACCATGAAATCTTTTGAAATTAGAAAAAATTAGTTTATGAGAGTAGAAAATAATATATTAATACATACTTTGATACGACATACTTGGAGTATTACCTAGAAAAGAAAAGAGAAATTATTAGATTTATCTTTTCTGATAAATTTTCATGACTATTAGTTATTATTTGTCATACCTTCTGATTGTGTACCACCCAATGATTGAACAGTAATACGTTCACCAGTCATTGCTTTACAAGATTGTTGTCCACTATTAGAATTTGATCCACCAAGATAACCACCTGAAGCTGTATAATAATTGTGTGCTCCATCATTTGGTCCAGCCATACCTTGTCGATTATATGGTGTATTCATTGTTCTATTCCAGAAGGTATTCGGCATTGGTTGATTTGGTGGAATTCCGATATTATTAAAATTGTTATTCTGATTACCGAAATTAGTTCCATTATTATTGGGAAAATATTGTGAATTGGGTGATGCATAACCATTCATAACATTACTTGGATTATACAATTGATTGTTCGAACCATAGGGTGTTGAAGCAGCTGGATATCCTCCATAAGCTTGTTGTTGTGGTTGAAAATAACCTGGACCAAGATCTGGTGATTGAAAACCTTGTCGGTTTGTTTGATTTGGTTGATTATTCATCCAACCCTGTCGTTTTTGACGAGGACGTTTTTGTAAAGAATTTTGATTACGACTATAAAAACCAGCTGAACGACGTACTATATTATTATGTGGATCAAGAATAACATCAGCACATATATGACGTAGAACAAACTAATAAAAAGATGTTTTATATGAAAATTTATAACAAAATAAATCTTTACTTGTCTTAAACGATTAATATCTGTTGTTACACCCATTGATTGTAATGCTGCATTTGTTGGAATAAATAATGTATAAGAACGACCAGTTTGTTTTAATTGTTCAATAACACGTGTTTGTTGAAGTAATTGAGTAAATGCGCTATAGATATTTAGAGATTAAATAAAATCGATAAAAAATAATGAATAGTAATTATTACTTTGCTCCTTGTACTGCTAGAAGAACTCCATCAATTGGTATGACTGTTCCAGATACAAGACCTGAAATTAAGAAAACTTGATATAGTAAAATGAAAATTTATGTGTTATTATACCTCGAATAACATGCATAACACCATTTTTAATTGGAATATTTGATTCGCTATTAAGAATTGTTGCTGTAAATGGCAAAGAATTCGCTGATCGACCGATAAGTGTTACAACTTAAAATTAAATAATTTAATTAATAATAAATAGATCTTTCATTTCCTACCATTTCCTCTTGTACCAGGTGATACTTGCGCTTGAACAGTATATTGCGGATCCATGGTTGGATAAACTTGACCATTTTGAAAAACTGCTGAAGAAGATGACGGCATTTGGTAATAATTTGGATCAATCTGTTGTTGTTGTTGTTGTTGTTGTTGAATAGGTAATATTTGTTGATTTGGTAGTTGCTGCTGTGGATTAGGTAGTTGTTGCTGAGGAAATTGTTGTTGTTGTTGTTGTTGTTGTTGAATCGGTAAAATTTGTTGATTTGGCAGCTGATGTTGTAGATTAGGTAATTGTTGTTGAAGATATTGTTTTTGTTGATTGGGTAGTTGCTGTTGTGTATTAGGCAATTGTTGCTGAGGAAACTGTTGTTGTTGTTGTTGGTTCGGTAATATTTGTTGATTATGTAGTTGCTGTTGTGAATTAGGCAATTGTTGCTGAGGAAATTGTTGCCGTTGTTGTTGTTGATTCGGTAATATTTGTTGATTAGGTAGTTGTTGCTGAGGAAATTGTTGTATTTGAAAATTTGTATACGATGGTGTATACGATGGTGTATTCAATTGTCTACGACGTCGAGATTGTTTTTTGTCTGATCCTGAAGCAGCTCGTTGAAATTGTGGTATTTGAAATTGTTGCTGATTCAAACCAGGTTGTAGAAATGGTTGCTGTTGTTGTTGTTGTTGTTGTTGTTGTTGATTGAAACCAGGTTGTACGAGGGTTTGCTGTTGTTGTTGATTGAAACCAGGTTGTAGGAGAGGTTGCTGTTGTTGTCCAGTTTGATAAATATTTTGTTGAGGAAATGAATTTGATCCTGCTGATGTGCCTGTTATTTGATCCATGTATACTGGAAACCGTAAGATATGTCTTCGTAAATTCTAAAATATTGAGAAATGCATATCATATTCTGCAAAGCTGTATTACGACTGTTATTGAATAGAGTAAAAAATTCGTTTATACATACCAAACTTAGTTCTTGAGCGCTTCCTATTTGTTGTATTGACATCTGTTGTGGTATAAGTACCGTAATATTAGGTGCATTTTGTGAATTAAAATTTTGATTCATTGTCCCTTGTAATAAATTAATTAATTCTAAATCTCCTGTTTGTTGAACAAGATTCATAAAATATCTAAAATAATAATCAAACAAAAAGATGAATATTTAATAAAATTATTTATTTTCTTACTGATAATTTCGTGTAAGTTCATCGGTAGCTGATCGAACTTGAGATGTAAGAATCGTTGAAATTGGATAGACAATTCCATTACCATATAATCGAATATCTTCCGAACGAGAATTTAAAATACGTGCTACAAATCGACCACACACAACATCAACTAAAAGACAACAATAATTTCTAAGAAAATTTTTTCTTACAAATAAAGATAAGTTTTACCTTGAAATGTTTGATCCGGTTGTGTTACTTTACGAAATGTAATCCATTGATTTGCAATTAATGTTATTACTTGTTTTGTTGAATCCATTGCACTCGGATATAATACTAATGGTATAACATGTGCTTTAACAAACTAAATTATTTAATTAATAATAAATTATTGATGAATACACAGAAAAAATAAAGATCATCTTTTACTTCATTTATATCGTTAGTATTATTCATAGAAGATTGATCAAGTAAATAACTTAAACTTGAACCCATACTAGCAAATGCTTGATCATTTGGTAGAAACCATGTTTGATGATGAATTGAACGTAATTCTGAACGAAAATAATCACTACGTTCAGCTAGTTGACGAAGACGACTTAAGATTCAAAATAATTTTTACATGAAAATTTAAAAACTTAAAAGTTCTTACGAAAATTGTGCATCTTCAAGTGCATCATAAGCTGTTTTATACTGTGCTTGATCACGTCTTTCCGGTGGCCATAAAATATTATCAATTACATTGATCACACCACGACTCATTGGACGTGATTGTAATACAAATGCATTATTGATCGTCGGACGCTAAAAGAAAAATTAATTGAAAATTTCACAACAATAGTTTTTATATTCAAATTCATCTTTGAAATGATAAAACTACTACTTGAACGAAGAGAAAATAGATCAGTTGTTTATATTTTTCGTATAGCATATTAAAATTTATTTAATTGGTAAATACTAATCTCTTATACTTACTAATACTCCAATACCGCCATTTGGTCCTAATTGCCCATAATTTTGTTGTTGCTGTTGAAGATTTGGAATAAAATTCATATTTGGAGTTTGTCGCTTTTGTCTATTAAGATTTGGATTGAAATTATTACCATAATAATTTGTTAAATTTGGATTTCTCGGTAATGTATTGCCTTGACCAGCACCATATTTGACACTCCGATCATAATTATCCACTAAATATAAAATAATAAGTTAATTTTTTTTGTCAAAATTTTTCTTTATCTTTCATACGAATAAATGGATTCATTGGAATATTATTTTCGAATACATTCGTTTGATTCAATGATGTATGTGTTAACCAAGATATTCCACCTGAACCATATCCAGCATTGTCAAAAGTTTCATTGACGTGCGGACCTGTTCCACCATAGAAACCATAACCATAAAAAACCTTGAAATTAAAAAATTTAATTATCAAGTTTGTTTTTTAAATTGCTTTCATACTTGAAAAGGTAATGCTATAGTTGGTAAATTATTTTGTGGTCGAATACCAGTCATTTGTCTTGGATTAGCTTGATTATATTTTTCTTGTGCCATATTAAATAACATTTGTTCATCGTAGCGTCCAGATACAATATGATATTTCCAAAGTAAATTTAGATCTTCATTTTTTCGATTTAAATTTATCATTGCATCGTTATTTGGTGCAAATATTGTAAAATCATTCATACCACCTGGTTGCTGTTGAGGATAAAGACCTTGTAATACCATTTGAATATCTTGTTGGCGCAGTAATTGTTGATGAAACTAGATTTACAGATTTGTTTTTTGAACAAATGAATTAAATTATTTTTTTTTGAATAACTTACTAATGATAAATCAGGCATACTTGCTAGATCTTCAAGTGGACCAGCATAGCAAGTAATACTAATTATTAATAAGATGTAGAAATGTATGAAATACATGTTTTTATTCTAAAAAATCGAATGTATTCTAAGAATGAATATTTACTAAGTCTGAGTTCCGTTAGAGAAGAAGAAGAGAAGGACACAGAGAGAGAGGAAGAGAGGAAAAAAAAGAAAGGTGAGTATCGCTCATATATAGTTGACCGTACGGAGGGCGATGTGACCATTTTACAATGATTAGACGATGAAGTTCATCGTATAATTTTTCTTTTTATTCTCTTTTCAAAGTTCAAATCGAACAATATAATTGATGACCATAGAAGTATTGTTGTTGTTGTTATTGTTGTTTTAGTAAGAATGCAATAAAATAGGTTATTTTGTCATGAATTACATGTATAATATACGGTACTTTTGTCAGATTCGAATGTAAAGAGTAGTGTAAAAGAAAAATGAATAATTGAATAAGGTCTTATCAATAATGTCATCAAGTGTCCAAATCAAAAATATATATCAAACCCATTCTTATCTATTCCTCCATCTGTTTCTATCAGAACGAGTTGATGTTGTCATCAGAATCATCGATCATACGTATAAATAATTCTAGAATTATCTTGAACGTATTTCAGGGCATCGATAAACGAGAGACTTTAGAATTCATTATACAAAATAAAATAAATCGTTCATAATTGTCAATAGCAGATGTAATCTTTTTCTATGATTGAAATCTATAAATTCGTGTTGAATACAACTAGAAAAACTTAATTTGTTTATTATTATATTCACTTGTGGAAGTAGTTACATCCATTTATAAACACTTAAAATATCTCTATATTAAACAACTTAATAAAGAATCGAATGAATACATCAATGATTCTCTCTTCTTCAGAATCATAATTTGCTTTTGTTCAAGTGCGCAATCATATTCAAATATACAATATTTCGTATCAAATTTCAAATCGATTCTATATTTTGAATCCATATTATTACTCTTTATTTGCACCTGTTTATTTAATAAATCATATGTATTGAAGATTTAGTGCCTTATTTTACTATTCCTATGAACTTAATTAGGATTATATAGTAGAAATAATATTTCTAAGTAGTTTGACCAATAAATAAATGATTACTGATTCTTGTTATGATAAAATTCATACTCTTTCATTACTTTTAAATGTATGAATGCTTCATCTTTCTTTTTTTCTATTTATTCCTTGTCTTTGAATAGAATTGTTCTTTTTTTTTTTTTTTTTTTTTTTTTTTTTTTTTTTTTTTTTTTTTTT